TTGTTGATCAAACACATAAAGGTTTCTTCTAGGTTACCAGAATCGACCTTCACAGAATCATTATCTTCAGGAAGTTCTTCTTTTTCAATGTCAGATTCATCATCTAATTGGAAAATAATAACTTGATGAATTTGTTGTTGATCTTTGATTTCCCTGATCTCTTTCTTGAGATTGTTAATCTCAATCTGGAGATCCTGAATAGTGGTAGGTTTAATGTTAGAATTCTTTTCTAATCTTTTGAAAATATTTGTAATATCAAATTTATTTGTGGTAAAATACTCTCTAGGTTTAGGTCTGTTTTCTAAAACCTCTTTGAATTTATTTAGAAATTCTTTTCTTTCTTTGGGATCAGAAATAGAACTTATTGCTTCAAAAAGAAGATCTTGTTCTTTTGTCAAAACATTGATTTCTGGAGTATCATCACTGTCAGAAGAGGAAACTTGATCATCATTTTGGATTTGGTTGACATCTTCCTCAGATTCTTTGACAGAATCTTCATCAGAGGATTCAATAAGGAGATTGTTAATTTGGTCTTCTATGGAAGGCTCAAGATTAAGACTGCTAATTTTCTTTTTTAGCCTACAGTATTTGCTGATGTGGCCAGGTTTTCCACAATTGTAACAGGTTACGCTTATTCTAGGTTTCTTGGGAATATTGGTGGGGATGACATTTTCTCCTTGCTTCTTGGGAATGGGTTTTCTATTGTACTTACGTTTATAAGGTTTCTTATAAAGTTCAACAGCCTCTTTCTTGGGGGCATGTTTCTTCTTTTTGGTGGAGCAAGATGGAAGACCAAACTGCTCGCAGAAAGATCCTAATTCTTTCTTCCTCAAGGCCTTTTCTTTGGCAAGCTGCTTCTGGAGTTTATCCTTCTGGCAAGCCTTAATACCGTTATGAATAATAATGGCAGTAAGCTGACCATAATCATAACTGTCATAATTGATCTCTCCAGTAGGAGAATGACTTCGGAGTTTGCTTCTAATAAGATCTCTGAAAGCTTTGGGAAGCCCATCTAGATATTTTTCTTTCTAATAGGCTTGTTTGCAATCTTCTCTGGTTAAGACCCTAGACATGAAGGTATCTTTATACCATTTGAAATGTTCTAAGGAATCACACCTGAGGTTAGAAAAGAGTTCACCTGATCTTTCTCTCCAAAGAGAAGGATCACCCAAGAAGTGTTGGGATATTGTGTATAACAACGTATACACTGCATCAGGAAGACGCTCATTGTCACTGACAATAGTTTTTCCCTTATCATCAATTTTTACTGCAGAGAGGATGTTTTCTCTATCAGCTTCAGTGAGATAATTATCCCACCATCCTTTGAGTTGGCCGGTAAAACCAGCTACAAGAATATAAACAATGGTGTCTTCAGGCATATTTTGATTAGTAAAATAGCCCATGGCGACAACCGACATGTTTTGGAGTTTGGCAATGATATTATATTCAGATAATCCATCAATATTCTAAATATAAATATCATTAGAATTGAAACTTTGAATAAAATCTTGTTTTTCTTCTAAAATAAGATCAGGAGCAGTAGCTCTATTATAATAAAGTTTGGAAGAATTTTTCTAAGTATTGATGGGATTGATAGCTAAAACAGAATCTGTTTAAGAATAATGTTCTGAATCAGTTTTAGAAATGGCATTGACAGTTTTGGTAAGAGATCTAGTTCTGGGTTTAGCACTGGATTCTTCAGAGGGTTGAGGAGTGTCGGGAACAGTGGTAAGAAGGCTAGTAATTTTACTAAGCAACTCATTCTGGTTATCCTCGTTCACTCTGATTTTTTCTTTCTGCCTGAGTTCTAAGATTTTTTGTTTAGCTTTGGCACTAATCTTAAAAGGTTTAAACAGAGGTTTTTCTAATTGAGGTTGAAAGGATGAAGAAGCCATCTCTTCAACTTTGGGTTTGACAGGATTAACAAAGATTTTTTCTCCTAGAACCTGAAGATACTTATTGGTATAATTGGCCTGTTCCATAAGGCCTTGGATATCATTAGGAGTGATAGACTCTTCTGGGTTCTTAGATTTAAAAGGAGTAGCAGTAACAGGGTTACCGCCCTTGTCTTTCAAATTAGGTAATTGGTATTGAGTAGTGGGTGGCAGTTCACTTTGAACAATTTGTCCATCTTTGATCTGCCAGGATATGACATTAGCAGAGGAGGTACTAATAACATCCTCTTGCCAAGGATAATCTATGTTATTATGAATGGTATATGCATGATACCAATCAAAGAATGGGATGTTCTGTTTGATTTTTTAGAGAAATTGATAAAATTTCTCTTGGATATCTAACCTGTCTTTTCCCCTATGCTTCTGAAAGAACCACTCTCTTTGAGGTCTCCATTCCTCAGAGTAGAAATCTTTCCTAAGGGTTTCCTTATCAATAATGAATTTATGAGATAACATCATAAGACTCATTTAAGGAAGAGTAGGTTAGAGATTGGATACTCTGATGATCTTCTTCTTTTTCAGAAGTCTGGTAAACATTTCTAGGAATCCTAGAAGAAGTATCCAAACCCTGTAGGTTTATGGAAGGATCATGGTTAATGGGAATTTTTGATCTAGTCGATTGAGACCTGTAAGAGAATGACCTCCTAGCAGAAGCAAAACTAGATCGACCGCTGTAAGCATCGACTCTGGAAAAGAAGGAGTTTCTCCTATCAAAGGTTATTTCAACTTTCCCAGAATTGTCCTGAGAAATATTTTCAATTTGAGGAGCAGGTCTAGGGACAGAAGGCAAAGCCTTATCTAGTACCCACTTTTCTAGAAGGGAAACTTCATCCCACTTGATAATTCTAGGAAGAGAGACATTAGCCTCTGTCATATCAGTGATAAACAAAGTAGTCTCGCCTCTTTGAGGTTTGAGAAGGACCCGAAAAGCACAGGAGTTCATGGCCTTGTACTGAATCCTATAGATTAAGGCTGCGGGAATAGATCCTTCTTTCATGTTTAACCCATGAAAGCAGACATTGAGGAACAGAGAGTCAAGAATATGGTCATCTAAAAGACTCACTGTTTTGTTAAGAAAACAATTAAAATAAATTGGTCCTTGACCAAGGCTGGTCTCAACGGTTCCTATAAGGGAGTCATTGAAGTCATTATGTCGAGCATCTCTAAGACACATTAGGATAGCAGCATCTATACCTATGTCTATGAGGGGCTTAATGGCTACCTGAACACATCCTATGTGGAGGTATTTGTATTTACGCTTGTGCTCATTGATGGAAGATTTGGACAGGAGATGAAATTCTTCTCCTAGGTCTTTTCCTAAAGGAATATTATTTTCAACAGTCTTAATAATGTAATCAAAACTGCTTTTCTTGGAATGTTCTTCAGGAACATATAATGTGTCCTGAGGGATTTCTGGAATGGTCCAGTCATCCAAGCTTTGGTTGATCTCTTTGAAGCGAACTTCTTCGTCGAAGAGGTTATGTTTGGGTGTGATCTCAAGAGTTTGTTTCTCCTGTTCGTTAAAAAGATTGTTTTTGGTTGGAGAGGAAGAAGATGAACTAGAGCCAGAACGGAAAGAGATGCGGGAGAAAGAACGCAAAAGTTTGGACATCATAAAAATATTTCTGGCACATCACCTTCATCTAGTTCCGTAACAATATATCTGTTAATTATTTATAACTTATTCAACTAGATCTGGTTATTTGTGGAATTTTTTTTTTTTTTTACATTTACAAATTCTGAAATTCTTTTACCATAGCCACCAGCTTCTTATGTTCTTTGTTCCTTTTGAATACAGCATCGTCAAATTAGCTTTACTGCCCTTTCTCCACACGGGTCTTACTGCTACAGCTCTATTCAAAAGAACTAAGAACTGTTGTACTTCCAGTAAAGGATTTTCATAAAAATAAAAAATTGTACAAAAGCAATATTTCAGAACCATTAGTTCGTGGAGTTGTTACAGACAGGGACGACTATTACAAGTCTCACCCGAAGGGCCTGTCAGCTGTTCAGCCTATAAACCATGGTTACAGAAATTTCATAAAGAATTTTAAAGTCCAGATCCAAAACATAGTTACAAATAATCAACAGTTATATTCTTACTTCCCCATCAGGCTCTGATACCAGAGAATTAAAAAGGACTAAATACGAGTAGAACTTTTTTTTTCTTCTTGATTTGATCTTGTAATACAAAAAAGGAAAAATAGTTACATTTTTTTATTGATATTTTAAAAAGTATAAAAATTAAGTTATCGTAATTTTTTAATTAAAGTTATTTTATTTAAATGACAATTTTCTAACATATATTTAAGGAAATATAACAAAGATAATAAATAATATTTTTATTAAAAATATAACATTTAATATTTTGATAAATTACATTTTTTATTTTAACTTATCTAAATAAGAAATATTTTTTATTATATTTTTATTATATTTTTTATCCTTTTATTTTTTCCTATCTATTTCATTCTCCATCCAAATAAAACTTAAATGTTAACTACAAACATACATGTTCAAGATCATATTTACTATTTAAAATTTAGTCATAATCAACATATTGATATCACATTATTCAACTTTTAAATTAATGATAATATAATTTGACATATAAAGAAAAATATTAAAAATATATTGTTTTTTAATGTGTGTTCAAGAAAATATATTAAAAATTAAAAAATTAAAAGTAGTTACTTATTTAAAATAGTAATAAAATATTTAATAAATATTTTAAATGATAATTTAAAGTATTTCATTATTAAATATACATTGAAAAAATTGTAAGTATAATTAATTAGTCAATTGTTTTTTAAATAAGCTATTCTTTTTTAGGTTAAATGAGTAATTATTTACGAACTACTCTTTTAGTATTATTTTATTTAGATAAGTAAGTATTACTGTCAATTCGTAGTTTTGAATTTATTTGGATTCATTGGTTTCGGGGTCTTCACTCTTCTGCTCTTCTCATCTCATCTCATTTATTGGACGCATATCACACGTTTCTGGGCCAATAACTATCACTGTTTACCAACTTTACACACTCACAACACTGCCACTGAAAGAAAGAGATACTCAAAACACAAACACGCATACACACTCACAACACTGCCACTGAAAGAAAGAGATACTCAAAACACAAACACGCAGAGAGAGAGAGAGAGAGAGAGAGAGAGAGAGAGAGAGAGAGAGAGAGAGAGAATGGAGAGAAAGGTTGTGATAGTTTGTTGCGTTGTGGGCTTCTTGGGGCTGTTGTCGGCTGCAACTAGCTTTGGTGCAGAAGCTAAAAGGATTAAGGTTTCTGTTTTCTTTGGTTGGTTAATGGATGGTTTTCGTTCTTTGCTTGTTCTCAAAACCCACCAAATAAAGATTATTTTTTTCCTTTAGTTTTGTTGCCTTATTTAACAATTCAATACTGGGTCCAGTACTTGTCGTTGGCACTGTTAAGGGTACGCTTTTAACGAGTATGAGCAAAATTTTGAAATTTCTAAACTTTTAAGCATTTATGAAGAACTTTCCTTCATCATCCATCTAATTGGGAAATTACATTGAACCCCCACTTCTTCTTTTCGTATATTTTTCTGTTCATCTTCAAAATTTTGCTTTACCTCTAGTGGGTGCAGCGCAGCAAATCCTATGCATTCATCAAGCTTTCCCTTTTACTTGTTGTCTTTTGTGATTAGTTGCATATCCTTTTCTTTCTACCAATTTTGGAGCAGATGGAGTCTGAAAAAAGGGCATGAAGTTAGATGGTAGGAGTTTTACCATCAATCTTTAGGAAGGAGAGAAAGGAAAAGGAATGACGATGTTTTTCATATTTATTACGTTGAGAATATAGAAGAGTAGTGAATGTTGTTTTTTGTAAAATCTTACTATTTTTAAGTGCTTCAAATTCATCCTGATGATGTTAACGAAACTTGTATATTATTTCAGTATTTTAGTAACGTACCTTTCACTTTATTTTTGTTGATTTTGCTTTACCATTGTAAATTCTGCTATGTTTATATTCACCATGAACAAAGGTTGTGATAATAATTGTTGCTCTGTAACTTCTGCAGGGTTCTCAAGTTCATTTTGTTACGGCAAACCAGTGCATGTATCCTCGTAGTCCAGCTCTACCTCTTGGTTTAACTGCAGCACTGGCTCTGATGATATCTCAAATAGTCATAAATGTTTCAACTGGGTGTATTTGTTGCAGAAGAAGCCCTCGAATCCCAGATTCCAATTGGAAGGTGGCACTGGTCTGCTTTGTTTTATCCTGGTAATTTTCACTTTTTGGTTTGTCATGTTACTATTTGACTATGCTAGTGTGGTCCATGAGATTGTTATCCTCATACTTAAAAACTGGTATCAGCTTGTGAATTTACTCCCATTCTGCTGAGAAGTAAGGATTTGGCTTTAAACAAAGCAGAGCTGAATATATAAGCAGCAAAGATGAATTTGGATCATTCATTTTGCAGGGTAGTATATCTACAGTGAATTGTGGACTATATGGCATTAACATTTTTTGCGGAATCTGCCCGTTTCTTGTGCAGTATAGCATATGTTCCTTCATGCTTAGATGTTTATGATTTATTTGCAATTGGCTATTGAAGGCCCACAAACAGTGGGATAACACTTGTTTTGATATTGATGATGGATTGAATGAGAAGCAATTTGAACTTTGAGATCTCTTCTTCAAAGAGGAGGTGTGAATATATTTTGCTTGCAAATAAAAATTAACTACAGCAAATTGGTTAAATGAATATTGATGTTAGGAAGGTCCTATTTTACATGCTGGTACGATTGACGATGTTTAATATATCTAATCTGCCTGTATTATGATATCGTGATGTATGAATTGTGTGAATTGATAAAAATGATAGTTCATCCTTCTCATGTGTAAACAGCATGGATAATAATATCATAACTTTTTATTGCTCCTTTTCTAATAAAATTTTCAAAATTGTCAAAACTTAGCAAGATGATTACACTACAGAGAAAATGTTATTTAATACATCATTCTAGTAAGATATAAATAAATTAGTGAATTTTGATATACATGATAATAACAATTACTCTTCAATTATATATAATTGTACTCTTAGTTGTCTAAACATAATAATGTTCATGTTATTGTTTTATTCTTTCCATTGAAATGTAAAATTTGTATTGATGAGATCCGTCACAATTTTTTTTTTCTTGTTGGCTGTGCATTTTTTATTTTATTTTGTCCATTTCACAAACACAAATGGAAATGTTATTTATTTGAGATTTTTTTTTTTATTGAGTTCATAATTTGTTGGATCCAACATGTTTATCTGATTATTGAAGAAATAAAGACGATGCTTGTTCTGTTGTATGAAGACATTGGTTGTGTGTATGGCACTGTGGAATTGCATTGAGTCTCTGAAACATTAACTTCCTTCTGATGCCAAGGCGTTGTGTTGTTGAGCCAAGTACTTCTGCTAGGTTTATTTCAGAACAGTGGGCTACATGATGTCATGTGAAATTAGGATAAAAATTACTTGCTTTTATAATTTAAATATTTTGATTCTCCTTACTTGCTATTATTGAAGGTTAGTCATTTTATGTTCATGCTGACTAGGATTGGAAACCTTGGGGACTTGGACTTGGATTGTAAATCATACTCCTTATTTCTGTGGTTGGATTCTCTGTTCAAACAGGTTCACATTTGTAATAGCTTTTCTCCTGCTGCTAACTGGTGCTGCACTGAATGATCAACGCGGCGATGAGAGTGTATACTTTGGCTACTACTACTGCTATGTTGTGAAACCTGGAGTGTTTGCAGGAGGTGCAATTTTATCTCTTGCAAGTGTTGCATTTGGAATTGTGTATTACATTACCTTAGCTAAGGGAAAGAATGGTGGCCATCCTTTTGGTGATCCCTCATATCCTAATCAAGGGGTCATAGCCATGGGACAGCCACAGATTCCATCTCAGACTACTCAAGATCCTGTATTTGTGCATGAAGACACATACATCAGACGACAGTTCACATGATAGGAAAATAGCAGCTAGCCCTTGCATATTGCATCACTCTGTTAAACTCACAACATTGAAGTGTGGAGGCTGCTTTAATCAAAACCTGCTTTATAAAATGTAACTTTAGGAAGCAGGGTTTCTTAGGGTTTGTATGTGTACATGTGTCATTAGAAAATGCTTTGTGAGGGAGTTATGACTTTTGCCATGTTTTGTAGTTGGATGGTCCGGTCCAGACAAGAGACAACAGTAGAATTAAGATATTGACTCTTCATACTCTTAGCCAAATATACATGTGGAGGTATATCTGGAAATTATATTTAAAGTATTACAAGGTAGGCAAATATTATAAGTATCAATTGCTTTAGTCTTTAATTATACAAAGTATCATTCACTTTAATATTTTTTGTACAAAATGACATTAATTAATTAAAATGAGTAAATTTTTATGAAGGATTAAAGTGATTGGTACTTGTAGTTTTGAAGACATGAGAACTCATTTACTAAATAATACACTATTAAACTTTGATAGGAAAAACATATCAATCTTTTGAATTTCCATGGCACGAGTGACTGCGTCAACGACAAATAGACTGGAAGGTCAGAATTCCCGTCCAGACTGTTGGCCTCTTTCATTGAACTAGTTGTTTGACTTAAAGATAAAATATTGTAGCTTCGAAATTGTATGTATAAGAGATTTTAATCACTTAATTTTTAAAAATTGTTATTCTTTGATTTTGTAAAATATCATTCATTTTAATTTCTTTTATGCAAAACGATAATAAAAATAAAATAGAAAGAAACAAATGAATGAATGACTTTTTTCAAAGTCAGGAATCAACGGAAGGTTTTTAAAATTTTAGCGACTAAATGCTTAACACATATATTCTCGAGTAATATTGTAAGGATTTAATCTCTTGTCATGTTTTTTTGCCGGTTGAATCACTCGAGGGACAGCGAGAGACAAAGGTGATGGGTTTTTCGTTTTTGAAAAATGTTGAAACTCCAGCTGAAGAACCAATCTGTCCTGATATTGTATTTGTACATAAACATAAATCATTAGATCTTATAGCGGTAGCATAATGTTCTGCAATTAGATTGAACGCACTTCGAATATTAATCGTCTTGTTTCAGGTCCAATTTGTAACATCAAAGAACCTGTGAATTGACTTGTCTAGCAACTATAACCTCCTTAATCCATCATTTGTTTCACGCTTACTCTTGTTGGATAACCAAAATAAGATCACCTTAAAATCCAACATTATTTTCAAAGAAGCTACTAATGGCTCAAAAAGTCAATGTGGCACACGTTTAATAATTCAAAACAAAAAAGTTCTCAAATTCATTAGCATTTCTGCTGTGTGTGACTTGTACAAATATCAAGCGGAAAACGAAGTTCATGTCAAAGGGAGAACTGCCATCTCGTGGGTTTTTTGCCTGTGTAGGGTTAAATCAAAGACATTTTATCCGTATGGGGTTCTTTGACAAAAAATTCCCTGTCTAGGGTGATTTGTGAGTGTTGTCAAAAATGTTGGCGACACATGATCAAGTATCGGCTGAAAGAATGCCAACACAGGTGTCAGACTCGACTACTGAGAGCGGTTACTTTCAAACCGCTCTCATAAATCAATTTTAGAGAGCGGTTAGAAAGTAACCGCTCTAAGAAGTGCATTTTAGAGAGCGGGTTAGAGAGCGGTTGTTATGGAACCGCTCTTTAAAATGGACTTTTGAAAGCGGTTCTAATTGAACCGCTCTCTTAAATGGACTTTTGAGAGCGGTTCAATTCGAACCGCTCTCTAAAATGGACTTTTGATTTTTCAAAATGATATAGAGGTATGGTGGGAACACCTGACTAATGAAAAAGCTGTGGATATTGTCAACAGCAATCCACACGCCGTAAGATTCTTTTTCTCTCATATTTGGATTTTCTTGTATTATTTCTGCAGTGGATTTTACCTGGTGTTTTTTTTTTTTTCTCGTGTGCATGATGGCCATAAAATGCTTGGCTCTTTGGGTGTGTGTGTTTATTTGAGCCCTTTGGTTGCATTAGTATGGTGTAGAACCAAACTATTACTACATGGTTTGCATACTAGTCGAATTGAACTGCTCTGTAAAACGGACTTTTGAGAGTGGTTCGAATTGAACCGCTCTCTAAAATGGACTTTTGAGAGCAGTTCAATTCGAACCGCTCTCTAAAATGCACTTCTTAGAGCGGTTCATTTCAAACCGCTCTCAAAAGTCCATTTTAGAGAGCGGTTCCGTAACAACCGCTCTCTAAAATTGATTTATGAAAGCGGTTCCTTTTGAACCGCTCTCAGTAGTCGGGTCTGACAGCCTATGTTGGCATTCTTTCAGCCGATACTTGATCATGTGTCGCCAGCAGTTTTGACGACACTCACAAATCACCCTAGACAGAGAATTTTTTGTCAAAGAACCCCATACGGATAAAATATTTTTGATTAAACCCTATACAGGCAAAAAAACCCCATCTCGTTGGTTTTTTCGTAACGAGGAAAGGTCCTCAGCTCCAAAGTAGGTTCATACAGAAATCCAGTCGTAACATGCAAGAATTGCAATTATTCATAAATATACTTGTTGTCTTTCACTTGATTATAACATTTTTTGCCTTTAAGCATCTCAGTCTTTCACTATAAACTCTTGCCTTGGAGCATTTATAGTCCATTTCAAAACACCTGGCTGAAATTTCAAGCATCTAATACTTGCTTGAAAACATGATTTGAGAGTAAATGGAAACAGCTCAATCAATCAGTTTTTGTCTCAACATCCCATCACACTGGTCAATTTAACATCGCTTAATGCTTGTCTTCGTGAATAGCGGCATTAACCATTTGACCAAAAATTGAAACCAGTTCAAAGATAAAAGGTCCTTGTAGTTGTATATGGATTAAAAATCCATCTTAAATCATTTTTGCCCAACTAAAAAAGCAATAATAGTAATTATCCCATTCCTTTGCATTCCAGCAAAGGGAATCAACAAGAAGCACAAGTAAATTGAAGAGTTAAATTTCAGACTTTGTTACATTAATAAATGGACCCACTACCAGCTATCATGCGTACGCAAACGAGTCAACCGTGGTGGTAGCTTAGAGAACCCCTTCAATTTTAAAAATTACTCTGTAGAAATTCTGGCTTCAGGGATTACGCTGGTGGTAGCTAACCAGGTTACTCTGTGAAATCGTATTTACTCACCGACAGCAATCAAGGGTAATCCCCTAACATCCCAAATTTAAGAAAAAAATCAATACCGGTTCCAATTTTCTAACTGTTGGCAATTCAGAACAAGAGAAATGGACTATAAACAGAAGGTAAGAAAGGAAGTGCAAAAATTCCTAGGTCAATAGGTGATCCCTCTCTCAAAACTCTATTTACATGAAATACAGTCATGTTAAACAATCTAAACAGCTTACCAGCCTCCATGTCTTGAGAAGTAGTCATTGTCTAGTGATATAGCAAGAGCTACAGTCACAGCTCTCTCCGCGAGGGTCAGTGGACGACTGACTTCCAGGTCTTGAATCTGCAGAAAGAACATCATATCAATTGGGTAAGAGAAGAGGAGGGTGAGGTTTCTAAAGATAGCAGACAATGTCTCTACCGCAGTAGCAAGGCCAATCTTGGAGCTAGGATCAGAACTCCCAAATCGAATCACATACTGACCAGCATCAGTCAAAATCTGCACATTTAAGCAAAATTATAATTTGTATCACTCAAATTTGAACACTAATCCAAAAACTAAAATGTCTGAAGAATTGAACATGAAACTCTTCAGTTCAATTTGTTTGACTGACTCCACGATAACAGTTAGACAAGTTGATGATCAATAGATGCCATGAGGTTAAATCCGTAGCACTTGATAAACAGGGAAAAAAAAGAGAGGCAAGGATATACAGGACTCAGCCAATAATGGAAATTTGGTTAATAACCAGGGAATATGGGAGAAAAACTTGTTACTGAAAATCTGAACTCAACAGTTTTGAAAATCCCTTTTATATTAGGATAAATCCTATCTTAAGACAAATACCACCCCTTGGACGGCACATCTAACCAGATCTGTCTAAGGTAGCTAGAATGAGAATAACTGGAAAGATAAAAAAACATTTAGACAAGGCTGCTCTACATACTTTTGCTACTGTGGTGTGAGTGACTTTTTTTTCAATGTTCACGTATCACTATTGCAATGATAAAATATCTATCTTAACAATGTAAATTGAACCTTGAAATTTGAATCCTAAGGAATACAATTGATTAAATTCATCCCTGTCCCTGAGAAGACATTTCAATAATAATTAATTTGATCAGTTAACTGTTTTTTCTCTCTGCTTTTGCTCTTTTCTCTTCCTCCTCTATTTTTTCCCACTAGTTGCTTCTGTCCTACTCCTAAATTATATATACAGCCATCTTTTTTGTGTGAGAAATTATGGGGAGGGGAGGTCACCAGACCTTATTGTTTATGCAGTTTGATTCTACTAGTCAAGTTAACCCTCATTGACAAACCAAAAATTGTTTATTTTAGTTCTATTCTTTCAATTGAAATTTTAAAAACCACCACTTAATAACAAAAGTAGTCACTTACCTGGTGAAAGAGAAATATAGATAGCTTAGCAACATGATTACAATAGAAATCAATTTTGGATTTATTTTATAGAAAAAACCAACGGTAATCCCAAGATTGCAGTAAATGTTCTAAAAAGATAATTTTACCTAGAATGTTTAAAAATTGTCACTGTAGGACTTAAACACACGAGGAGATTCCAACACAAATGATTAGTTTATTATGTGAGAAAGCCCAATAGATTAAGTACCAAATTGCACATCTTATTCTACTCAATATGAAACTTATAACATAGCCACCACCTTTAAGGGCTGACAACCATAGCGCCTTTCACTTTATTGATACTGACCCCATGGTAATAACCCCTTTTCCTTTTTGTAACCCCTCTCAAAGAGAACACCAATTGTTATGACTTAAGTACTAGAGGAAAACCCAACCAAAAAGATTAGTCCATTAGGCAGGTGACCTTATGGTTTAAGTATCATATTAAACATCTTATTCTACTTAATATGAGACTCGTAACACAAACCACAAACAATAAATGAAAAAAATAGTAATTGTTGATTAGCAAGCATGTTTAACAAAGGTAACAAACACATTTTTTTTTTAGAATAAAGGTAAATGCCAAAAACCAACCTCAAATCCAAAACCCCTCCAATCACGATCTATTTGAGCAAGCACCTCACCATTAATATCTTTTAAGGTGAATGTCCAATTCCACAAGCCAGGATTCTCAACCACAGCAAATTGCTTATTCCTGCAAATCTTATTCTTAAACTTGCATTACGCACAAACTACAAATGCTTCGCATTTTCAAACTTAAACTTCTGACCAAAAGTGAATTAAAAAACCAATAAAATAGGTCAAAAGCATATACAAAGGAAAGTTCAAGTAAATATTTATACACTACATCATTTATTGATGAACACAACAAACACAATAAAACTGCAGAATGAATCAAACCTGTATCAGGAGAAACTTAGATCATGCAACAAAATAACTTTAATTACTTGATGGTCTTTACATGGACCCAAATCTGAACACTCATGTTCTATCTTTACAGTATGTATGCAACGAAGGGTAAAAAGCAAGCCAAAAAGAAAAAAAAACTTGGATGATGAAAAAGAGCAAAAAATACCAACAAGGTCTAGATTAAACTCTTTATGGTTTCCCCTGTTCCACTAGAAGACGCCAGACACTCCAATATATCTGCATGGAAAAGCACCCACACGACCAGTGACACTCCTTACCGGAGCATAAGCATGAGTCCCAATTTAAAAGTTTCCTGACCATTGGACAGGCTAAAATGGAAGGTTTCAAACACAGTTTTTTAACACTGCATCTCTTCTGGGACAGAATCAACTTCTAAGATGCTCTTGGGCCTAAGCAAATTGGGCCTTCGTAAAAGACATATCAAAGAAGAAGAAATAACCAGAAGGGTAAGATGGAGAATGTAAACAAGGAGTGTGTTATAAGGAATTGTAACAAACTGAATACATGGCATGAAGGGAATGGTGCTGGAAGATGCGGGAATCAGCCGAGTAGAGGGAATATGAAAGGATGGACGGAGGAGGGTGAAGGCAGGAAAAATTTTGGGTTTGGGAATGGCTGTTGCCACAGGGTGGAGAGATATCCCTTTCTCAGTAGCTTTCTTTGTTCTTGTTGTTATCAGTTTTCTGTTTCATGTGTAAATCAAGGATTAATTCCTGAGTGGTTTATTAATCCAATTTTGCATTCAGTTCCTATCAGATGCAATGGGATTGTAGAGCTCTCTTCAGCCAACTTTTATATTCTTCCATTTTTTGTTCTTGTATTTTTCTCTGTTTCAAATCAATTCCTATTGTGCACTCTTCTGTTGTAATGAGATATTTTTTCCGTCCAGTAAAAAAAAGAAAAAAGAACATGACCTATTTTTCTCAAGGAAATTAGCAGAAAATTGGCATGCCTCAATACAAACCAAGAACACAATTGGGGAAAAGAAAAGATATATTTTATTGATAGAATGAGATTAATCAGAAAATAGAAGAGAGCTCACTCCTCTAAGAGCTTTCCCCTACTGTTCTCCTATTTATTTAACCCACTAACTAATTATTATAAGGTCTTAATTTGCCCAACTCCTAACATGCTTTTATTAGCTTTCATGAAGAAAATAAATTATAGACAGAAACAGAGATAATAATGCAAGTTTTGACACCAAAAAAATAAGTTCTCTTAGAAGACATTGGAATATAAATGTCAACCTGAATACAAACAAAAGTCAAAAGCAATGATATTAAATATAATGCATGTTGCTAAAGACGCGAAATTTCAAACTGCATAAATTAAATAATAATACAGCCTATAAAGGACACATAATGAGCATCTAAGTCAACCTTTGGTGGTGAAGAAATTTGTAGTCTTATAGATTGACAGAAGTTTGATCTAATAAGCTCTTGATTCACACAAATCATTGTAATACAAGACTTTAGCTATTTAGGCAGCTTCTAGAAAATTGAATAACACACATCTTGGCTTGGACACAACTTTAATTTTTGCAAATAAAATATTCAGATGTAAAAAGACAACTAAGGTTAGCAAAGGGTGTTACGATTTAGGCAATTGATTATATATATAATAAATAAACTCAAAATATAGTATCCTAATATTACCCCAGGTACAAATCATAGATTCTCCTCCAGAGATGCCACCGCCTGTGAACAACTCCAACTTCCTGAAGAGAGAACTTGACACAATTAACAGACAAAGTGATGATAAAAATTTCATAATGAAAAAAATTTACAGCATTTAACAGAAATGGCATACCTTACCATCAATTTCAGCATAAATTGAGCTTGTTATCCACCAGAAGGGTCTGCGAACCTAACCACGGAAAAGCAGAGACTCAAGTCAAAGGAGAAACTATCTAACGATAGATGTTCGACTTATTTCACTAGTGTGGATAGAAATAAAATTTTCATGTGCATAAAAAAAACCAATACAAAAAAAATATTTTCTCACCCTAAAGAGCTCACTCCCCAAAGCATCAGTTATACATGCAACAAAAGGCCGCCTTAGACGAAGCAACTGCAGCAAGAAATGTTGAAACGGAGTGAAATAAATAAATATTGAACAAAACTAATAATTCATAACTGAATATCACAGAGAAAGCAAATAAAGATTTGCAAACTAAGATACATAGCATAAGTAATGCACCCATTAACCCATTGCAGAATTCACAACTGAATTACAAATTTCAGGGCTTGGCCTTTGCACAAAGTGACCAAATCAGAACTCCTATAATTGAATTTTAGATTTATCGCCCTGTTTAGACAAAGAAAGAACTAAATAAAAAACATTAAGTAGACAACACCTATGTAATAGTTAGAAAATAAGGCATATCTTTCAAAATCCAAAACCTAGAGTAGACAAGTCTAAAGGATATTTTCATTCCATATAATTATAAGAAAAATCTAATCATCCATGTCACAATTTAGAGAATGTGTCAATAACAGTGTTTTGTAATAAGAAATTTGCTCTACTTATGTTCAAATAAGGTGTGTCGTTCCTCATAAATAGTCCATGGTTGTTAATAATGAGGCACATTGCTAGTTGAATCTAATTAGGGAATGGAGATTGGTCATTAAATCTAGACTGGGAGGGAACTTGACAAATGTCAGTTAGACATATTTATGATGGGATTTTTTTGGACAAGTTTATCTGTATTGTTTTCTGAATCCTTATGACTCCCTACTAATAAGGTTTTGAGAGCATTAATTAATTAACGCTCAAGAGATGTTGCAAAATTTTTATATTGTGTTTCATGTGATGTGAGTCATGTGACATTTCTTATCCTTTATGATGATGTTTAAACTAGATTTGTCACCCTCTACTTTGGAAGTATTAGTATTTCTCATTTCTCGTATTCTTGGAAGTTGTAAAAGGAACAGTCTACATCATATGTATGGAGTGATACAGAAATGAATAATACAACAAAAGCATTCTTACTTATTAAATATGCAGGAATTACATTCTTGTTGATTGCCCTGTTCATGAAATGATAGTAAACAATACAAATATATGATAACTATTTTCTTTCCATGTGGATGATACATGAAACACAGCAGAGAATAAAAACAATTGAAGGGAGTGAAAATTAAATGATTGTGTTGAATACCTGTCTGGTAATGACATTACTCTGTTCACGAATAAAACCTACAGGCTGCATCATGACAGCAAGTAGCAAACAAGGTCAACAATCATTATTAGGAGCTATGTGAGAACAATACATGCACACAGTATAACTGAGTGGTGAAAAGGATATAAAAATTGTCACTGACCGACTGAGGGTAGCAAGCATCTACAATGGCATAACGATTTTCCTTCAATCCAACCAAAAAAATCACAGAATTAGACATGAAGTCAAGAACAATAGTCAAGAAAGATAAAATAAAAGGGTAAAAAAAGTAGTAATAATTAAATTCATTAGAAGATGCTAGAGTAATGCCCCACAACTTCAACATACACAATATCCATTACATGCAGCGAAAAGGACAAAATGAAATAAACTATGAACAAAGCTGCTTTGGAGGACAAATATAGCTAAAGGATCCAGGCATCAGAGAATAAAGAAAATCACCTGTTCAAAGCCAAGCACAAGATTTGCCCACTCGATATCTCTGGTAATGAGCAAGTTGGACCTGGCAAGCAGAGGTGCTACCTTGGCCTAACAAGATCAAGAAAGGGAAAGCAGAATATCTCCATATTAAAATCAACAAAAAGGCATATCGAGTTAGGACCATTTGTTAGTGTTATTTTGAAGGGCCAGAAAAACGCTTTTTAGTTAAAAAGAATACGTCTAAACTCAAACAACTTAAGGTTGGGAAACATCATAATTTGTAATCTACGTGATTTGCGTCATCATGATATATTTCAACTCTAGTCATGACCTGAAATACCAGAATGTTGATCATGATGATACATAAATACACCGTTACATCTAGCATAACATGCACAACGAATAACAGGAACCTATAGTTACTATATTTCCTTTACTATTCCTAAATCCCTCACAGTAAATTCTAAAGCCAAATCTCAAGATCATTTTCATATCAATCATTTTAAAAAAAGAACATTGGAAATTGCAAAATGTAAGCACCTCTTGAGGAGACTGGGGGTCTAAAAACTCAGAGACAGATTGACTGATAGGGGGCTGCTTCAAGACCCGTTTACCTCTGCTGATGACACCATCATCACGGTGCTGCGCAACGGATGAACCCGAAAACGATTTAGGGTCACCATAACCACAACCTCGACACTTAACGAATTTTCTCCCCTGCTTTCCCCTGGGGTTCCTGATTTTGGTATCAGAAACCCAAAGCTTAACGAGGAAATCCCTCGTCAATTGATGATGATCCGCACCCTTAATAGCGCTTCCAAATCGCCGAGACACGATCGCGGGGTTGACATTTGCCTGAAAATGAACGTGAGAATTGGTGATCTTAGATACCCAGCGCCACCCCTCCTTCGACCAATTTTTCATCTTTCAGAAAGAACGAGCAAGTCGTGCGAGGGAGAGAAACGTACGTACAAGGTGCAGGGTGTTGCTACTGTTCAAGTCATTTTGTTTAAATACATTTGCTAGTAATATTTTTTTTTTTACACTCTTATTAATATCATTATAAAAAAATTGTTTTAAGTAATTTTTGTTTGAAATGTCTCCAGTATTAAATATTAGGCTTAATTGATATCTTGTTATTGACTTGAATTTGTAAAGTAAATATTAAATAAATAAAGAACTAAATTAAAATAAATATACACATGATTAATAATTTTTTTTACATCAAAATTAACTTATAAATTTGAATCTAAGTATAAAAATAAATAAATAAAATATGTCATTCTCATTTATAAATTTTTGTATTTTTTTCACTTCTCAATTTTACTATTTTTAATCTTTAATAAATGTTAAAATTTATTTTTTGCCTTGTCATTTTTAAAATTCAACCAACTCTTAGTGACATTCACCAAATTTTTTTCTCTTTTCAACTACTTCATCACTCTTACTATTATCTACACTTTCTCTTTTACCTTCACTTTCATTTTCAATTCTACTATCTTTACTATATTTATCCTCATTCACACCTACCTACCCCAAACTTCAATCTCTCATCAAAATTCAAAACTCTTTCTATCCTAAAATGGGCCTTCATAGATGTTGTCAAGCAAAATTGTTGATGTATTTATCCATGTCTTTATTCACTCCCTCATACTATCAAAATTAATATGCGAAGTAAAGATGCATTACAAATTTACAAAAATACCATTAACTCATATTTATAAGTTAGTCTCTATATATAAAAAAATGTATAAATCAATTCACATGTGTACATTTATTTCAATTTAGTCATTTACTTATTTAATATCGTTTACTTTAAACTTAATGTCAAGAATTAAATCAAGAATAAGTGTACGTCTAGGATCTGATTTACAAATTTTTTACATGTGGAGACTAATTTATAAATATGAGTTAAGGATAGAGATCAAAACATTATTTAAACCAAAATACTTTACATTTTTTTATGACATTTTTTATTCTAAAAATTTGATTGATATATTTATTTTTAAACAAATTTTTTAAAATACATACTTGTATATAATTTAACTTAACTTATATAATGTAATATAAAATTAATGATAATATGATTTTTTTTTTATATTTTATAATAAATTACAGTTGGATTTAAAATACAAATCTTGTTTATATTATTTTCAATCAAATTTTACGATTCAATTTATATATTATATAAATGAAGAATAAAATAAATTAATATTATTAATGGAGAGATAAAAATAAAAAATATTTTTTAAGAATTTAGATTAAAATAAAATGAAAAATTATATTTTTCTAAGAACTAAAACTAATTATTTATAATTGAAGGTGGATATATGAATTAACCTAAACTTGTACCACGATCCATGATAGATCGTCATTAAATGAGTTAATAATTAATGGATCTAAAAAATCAATTGCTTGCATCCAACTCACTTTGTTCAAATTGTGATGGAAACACTCTAACTGACCAATGATTTTACTGTAATTCTTTAGACTTATTACTAGACTACTTATTTGAGCTTACCAACGTTTAAACAGTTGTCACTGCTACACCTGAGTTATAGATTTAAAAACACTAATCCTACTAAGTACAATTTGTAGTCAAAACTAACATACTCTCTCCTCTCTTAAAATCAGAACCTATTAGGCTCTTATACCAACTAGGGACATATCGCACATTTTGATTTTAAAATATTGTAAATAATTAAATGTTAAGAAGGAGATAAATTTTGAAATAATAATACAGGAAAGATAATAAGAAACTTAGAGAAACTGGTATCAACTCTTGTATTGATATTCAAAGCTTCTTACAAAATTATGGGGAATTTGATACAGGATATTGGAACACAAAAGTTTAAGAAAAGTAGTTTTTAGGCTTGCAAGAAATGTATAAGGATTATGAGGTGCTAGGATTGCCGATGCATTCCTTTGCTTCGGAACTATCCTTTAATAAAAAGGCTGAATCGGTAATGGGATTCACCTTTTTTACTATTTCGCAGGTCTATGCTTGTACGAAGATGTTTCTAACACTTCTGTTTTTGTTTATTAACTTTTATTTGTATTCACATGGAGTATAGATTCCATAACAGTCATCTTCATTGTCTACCAAAGATCTGAATTCTTCTATGTCATTTAGTGGATTATGATTATTTTGTATTTCTTCATCTTCATCCGAGGCCGCTTCCGATACCTTTTGGAGATATTGTCTGAATTATTTTGGTGAATTCTTCTTTAGGCTCAACTGTACTAAGACTAGTTAATAATCTAGTTTTTTGTTGAAGAAATAATTGGTTATTCTTTTCTAATAATGTTGAATTGGTTAGACTAGAGGGAGTTGACAAGGTATGATTTGGAGATCTTGAGAATGTTTGTAACCACTGATCAAATCTTTGTTTACGGAGGAGGTTAAGATCAAATTTCCTCCACCATTTAACTTTTATAGTCCTGACTAATAGCTAAATTGATGCATGCTCATATAAGTTAGCTAAGTCATATTCCCACATGATTATCCAGGAAATTCCTTGACTCACAATGAAAGATATAAACTAGCATTATGGAGTAAAGTTTGTCTTACTATTGAAATATTGTAATGTTGTTCTTGCTTTTTCAAGTAGTATAGAGACCATGGGTCCAAAATTGTGGAACCAGTATCGAAACCATTTAGGAAACTTTAGAGAAATTCCTTTTCTAAATCAGATAAACCATGATTGGGTTACTGGTTTAAAGTAAAAGATATTTCTCCAAGCATCAATATAATCAAAATAATTATTTTATTTCGGTTGATAGTCTATTGTAAAACTTGTATACTGATAAAGGGGTTGTCCCCAATCTTTTATTCTTAGAATATTATTTATTTTGAATTTCAAAAACATTATTTCTTGTATTTGTGTCTTTTTGATGAGTTAATTTTAGAGATTGTGTGTCTACTAGAATTAGCTCACAAAATTCTCGTTTTTGTTGTGATAATATTGATATAATATGATATCCTGGTGGAAATATTTTTTTAGCTATTTCATTTTTTGGTAATGAGAACCATTCTAGTTTTATTGGTATGACAGGAATACAGTCTGAATTTTCCACATATGGGGTTTCTTGTGACTTTGTAGAACTTGGAGAGACTTATATTGTAAATTTGTTAGAGAAAGTTGTTATCTCATTAGGAGTAACCAGAATGGGCTTTTGTAGGGTTTGTAGGACTGTCATTACCTTTTTATCTTTTTCTACCTTGGTAGGTGTTTGTAGTGGTTTTGATTCAGGCCTTTTTGGTGGCCCATAGTTGTAACTGGTCATTCGGGACATTTTTCTTCTTACAAGAATTCTCTAGGAAGACAATTAGGTAAAAAAAATTATTTCCTTTGATATGTACAATGTCAAAATTGAAATTTGATAATAATGTCTGTCATCTAGTAAAAATATGTTTAAAAACTAGATTTTTAACATCCTTTTGTAAAACTTGTGGTACTGCTTTGCACTCAATTTTTATTAAAAAAATTTTGATAAAAATATTATCTTGAAATTTTTGTAAACAGAAGAATATTATTGATAAAATTTCTTTTTTGACTGTTGAATATTTTTGTTGTGTTGGATGCCATATATAGTGACCATTCTAGTACTAAATCTCATATACCACTTTTATATTATAGCAACTTAGAAAACACCAAAATCTGATACCGATTTTTTTTTCTGTAAGTACATAAGTAGAAGTATATATATTCCTTTTTCGAAAATGAGAGTTATCACGCATATCTGAATTATGTCCAACACCTCATCACTCCATAGATAGAACATCATCTCAAGATCTCATACTTGATAGCATAGTAGAGTAGAATTAATCACAATCCTATAATTTGAAAATACTTCCATATATTAAAGATATCAGTTGATCTATCGAGGAAAACAGTCATAGTACTTTAACATTACTTAGAATAATAGTAACATTATCCAATTACATATTATAGCATAATCAGACTCCCTAAGAGTAGTTCTCCGAATAATATAAACATATAAACTCAACACATCAATTGTAAGGAGAATAATTCTTGATAGGATTAGATTGCTCAAAAGAAGTCAGGGAAGAAGAACTAGAAGTAGAAGTAGGATCTCTATCGTTCTCCTTAATCCATCCAGAAGTGTGAGGGGTGAACGAGTAACAGATATCCTCCTCAGAGGGTAGGTTCCATGCCTTCACCTTATTCCTGTCCATCTATATATACATACACACACAAGAGAGAAACAACACGACATAAGACAAATCAAAGGGGTAAGTTCTCCAAACACAAACAATCATCCAATCAGCCATACCCCAAGGAAGGTGGCGTCACAATCACACACAATTTCATCAATCAGCACATCTCATTAAGTACTTAGTAATATAGCAGAGGAAAACGATAGTTATACTCAGCACCAAATTCAGAATCAATCAACAATACCTGGTAGTAATGCATATGATGCATGAATGAAAGTTTTAACCTCACCCATATAGTTTCTCATGTTTCAATAGTATGCAAATAATGCATGGGGATCCAATCACCCAAATCATCAAGTCATCAACCACCAAAATCAACGACCACCAGAATCAACAAGGCGACTGGAAGACTCCATTCCTTACAAAAGCACAGATAGAAATATAGATATATCATGATCAATGATCAATCAGATGCATACGCCCATCAATATTAAATCAGAGGCATACGCCCATCAGTTTCGGGAATGGACCTCAACGACCATTGAATGTGTGGTTCTTGTCAAGTTTGGCAAAGGTTTGCATGGTCACGACCCAGCCACAGTGAGCTAAACTGCACCCCCTAGGTCGATTATTCCCCTTTTACCACCCCTTGTAGGTCTGACATGGGACCTGAACCTCCAACACCATCAGCTGTGCACTACCAATGCCTTATCACTTGTAAAAGTATGATGCATGTCATAAAGCCTATTATTTTCTTTCACAAGTTTTCTCATTTTAACATAGTCATCTCAGGGATAAATGC